CAACTCATAAAGCTGGCAATGTCCTTGTCTCATATTCTAAAGACTGCACTACTTCTAACCTCTCTGTAAACCCGCTTCACACATCCGATCACTTCTTCATTTCATTCTCTCTATACCCTTTTCAAACATATAACAACTAATCTCTTCTAATTCTGCACCTGTCCGCCGTAACCATCTGTTCCCTCTCCCCCTCTACCTTTGCCTCACCCGGTGCTTCAGCCCTCCCTTCCTCTGACTCTTCCAACTCCTGCCTCCCAAACTCTGCTGCAGAACTCTCCCTCTCTACTCTCTCATGCCTCTCGGACTCTCTCTGTCCTCTCACATCTCGGGCAGCTCGTCAGTTCCCCCCTCCTGCTCCTGGCTAAAGAAGCACTGCGTGCTAATAGAACCATCTCTTCGGGCAGCAAGAGGGAAACGGTGGAAATCCAAACACATGACGACACTCCTAACCATCAGGCTCTCCTATCCTCTTTCATCTCCTTCGTCTCTTCAGGCAAAAAGCACTTTCTTTCAAGATTAGATCCAATCTTCCTATTCCAATCCCAAAAAACTATTTCCATCTTCTCCACCCGCTGGACCCCCAAAGCCCCTTCCCCTCCTCCCTCTCTGTCAACGACTTTGTTAACCACTTTGAAAAAAAGGTGATGAATTGCTCTTCTTTTCTGACTCACCTTACTCACCGCCTGGGTCACCAGACCGCCTTCACCCACACACTAACCTCCTTCTCCCCTCTCTCTCCAAGTGAGGTTCTTACCCTCATTACCTCTGCCCGTCCTACCACCTGTCCTCTGGACCCTATCCTCCTTCAGACTATCGCTCCTGATATCCTACCGTTTCTCACCCATTTCATCAACACTTCTCTAACTTCTGGTCACTTTCCAAACAGTCTCAAGGAGGCAAGAGTAAACCCTCTCCTAAAGAAACCCACTCTCAACCCGTCTGATGTTATAAACTACAGACCCGTCTCTCTCCTCCCGTTCCTGTCTAAAACACTTGAACGCGCTGTCTTTAAACAACTCTCCTGTTATCTCCATCAGAACAACCTTCTGGATCCGCACCAGTCTGGTTTCAAGGCAGGTCACTCAACAGAAACTGCCCTCCTTGCTGTCTCTGAGGAACTGCACACGGCTAAAGCAGCCTCCCTCTCCTCTGTCATCATCCTTTTGGACCTGTCTGCTGCATTCGACACAGTGAACCATCAGATCCTCCTTCGCACTCTCCAAGAACTTGGAGTTTCAGGCACTGCACTTTCCTCCTCACCTCATACCTCATAGACCGTACCTACAGGGTAACTTGGAGAGGGTCGGAGTCCGACCCTTGTCAATTAACAACAGGGTTCCCTCAGGGCTCTGTTCTGGGTCCCCTCCTCTTCTCCCTGTACACAAACTCGCTCGGGTCTGTCATTAGCCCGCATGGTTTTTCATACCACTGCTACGCCGACGACACCCAATTTAATTCTGTCCTTTCCACGCTCAGAGACCCAGGTCGTCGCACGCATCTCTGCTTGTCTAGCTGACATCTCTCAGTGGATGTCCGCTCAACCTTGACAAGACTGAACTGCTTTTCCTTCCGGGAAAAGATTGTCCCACTCTTGACCTAACAATCAACATCGGCACCTCTGTTGTTTCCCCGACTCAGACTGCAAGGAATCTGGGTGTGACCCTAGATAACAAACTGTCCTTCACTGCAAACTTAGCTGCTACAACCCGCTGCTGCAGATACACTCTTTACAACATCAGGAGAACATGTAGGTTCTGGTCCAGACTCTTGTCATCTCACGCCTAGACTACTGCAACTCCCTCCTGGCTGGTCTAGCTGCATGTGCCATCCGACCTCTGCAGCTCATCCAGAATGCAGCTGCTCGTCTGGTCTTCAACCTTCCTAAATTCTCCCACACCACGCCGCTCCTCCGCTCCCTTCACTGGCTTCCGGTAGCTGCTAGAATCCACTTCAAGACAATGGTACTTGCGTACCATGCTGTGAATGGACGTACACACTGAGCCGTTTGGCCCCACAGAGCGTTCCGATTGCAGATCTATCCACCTTGGGACCCGTTATCGTTTGGGTCCGTTTCCGCAGTTCCGTTACGGCCTCATTTCATATTGGCAGCATATCAGTGAGCAGAAGCATTTAGCCTAACATTGTCTCTCTAATCCAGTCCACAGATACTCAAAATAATGCCCCAAATGGTATGTGGTGGATGCAGGAGCAAAGCACTCCAAGAAAGGAGATTAAAATGTGGTTTAAATTCAGTGTTTCTGTTGAATACCTTGTTAATCTCGATCTCTCTGTCTGTACACACAAACTAAAAAATGTACAATAAAGTTGACTTTGACTAATTCTCATCCAAGTTAGGTAGTTTTGACTCGGGGAAGATGAGCTTGTGAAGAATCCTGGTAGTTTTTGCAACCTGCTTTTTTAACATTTTGTTAACATTTGTATCGGTGTTGCCTGGCTCCCTGCCATCCCGCTGGCTAAATGGTCCATCGGGAAAATTCCCACCACTCCAGACGACCATTTTGCCAGTGCCAGCAGGATTAAAATGATTAATGTATTGCAATGTTTCGTAGCTTATGTACCTTTTCAGCCCTGCAAAATGTTTTAAAATAGATTGATATTATAAAATGAATTGCAGCCACTAAAATCTGTTCTAATTATTAATAAATAAATACAAATGTAAATAGGTTAATCCGAAAATAGTGTTCAAATGAGACTGTGGAGCCCAAGTTGAAAACTCTGAATTCTGTGTGTCATTTTTTATTAATAAATGACAACAAAAAATATTTTGAAGTTAATGTCTGTTGATCAAATAATCATTATCTGTTTAATGTATTTGTTAAGTAATTGTAAATCTAATCCAACTTGTGAATATCAATATGAATGAATCTGCTCGTCATAATTACCAAAGCAGGATGTGAAGACAGTACATCAAAAGGAATTGGAAAGATGCACTAAAGTGAAGAAGAGCTCTTTCACTCACCGGCTTGGTTTGTATTGACGGTAACATTCGCCAGCGAGCGTGGAGACACCCCGAGCCCAGAGACGCCATTCGCTGCCTCCACATGGAAGGTGTAGTTGGCGTGTGTTGCAAAATCTAAAATTGCCACAGAGGTTCCAGTCAGACCAAGCGGCCGCGGGATGAACCGCAGGTCTGGCCCACATGGTTCACACTGGGCCACACCACTGTCGCCATCTCTTTCCTCACAGCGCTGGCACAGGATGTTGTAAGTGATGTCCTGCCTGCCTCCTGTATCGCTAGGAGGCATCCACTGCAAGAAGAGAGCTGTGTCATTGATCAACGAGACCAGATTCCTGGGAGCTGACGGAGTCCCTGGAGTGAGAAAAAAGGAGTTGAGTTCTTTTTTTTCAGAAATACCCTTGAAGCAAAACAGCATAACACATATAGAGGCGTTTGGTTATCGTCTTACTGAATACAAGAGTGGACAAAACACATGATCAATGTTCACCTTGTGATATGTTCGACTTTACAGCCACTAGTAGTCTGCCATGTGTCATACAATGATGAAATGAGGAGAAAGAACTCCTATGATACGTATAAGTACTAAATATAACAGCAACTATATACCACTTGTTTGAACTCAAGGATAAAACTAGTGAACACATGATTACCAAAATCTGTCAATTAAGGGACAGCAAAGGTCCACATTTTTTTAGTATATGTGCTATCGAAATAACACAGCCAAGGTGCACAATTAAGTGTGTGTGTTTAAGTATGAAGGCGTTTGGCTTTGAAGTTATTATGGAGTATTTTTGTTCCAATAGCCATATGTGTCAATTTCCTGGATGGTACACAGATTAGATTTTTTACCAATTTTCAAAACTTCACAATGTCTATTTTGGCAAAGTGATCATCTGTACTGGAGTGTGTCTTTGAATATCTGTGTGTAGGCGTGAGAGTGGCAAGCTTTCAGAGCGTGAAGTGTTTCAGTCCACCACGTTTCTTGTCAATTATGGATGCTTCTGTCAGAATGTATTATTGCCATGAGTTACGTACATCATACTAAATGTTTTTTGCAAAGTTGAGACATGGATACAGATCTGAATATGTTTACATTTAGGACTATAATTTTTCCAGAATGAAAAAAGCAGATGGATGGGTAATAGTTGGCACAACTAACTTAAATAAGTTGCAGACATGCAAACAGAAACTAAATAGTTTTTTTTAACGACTTTACTTACTCGTACAAGGGATGGCAGAGGAGTCTTTGATAGCTCTATAGAAGCCTTTGTCGCAGTGGCAGATGGTGGCGGCCTGGTCATGGCTCGAGCTATGTTGTGGACAATCGGTGCATTTAGTGTTCCCAGCATATGCCTTGAAGAAGCCAGGTTTACAGGCTAGTAAAAAAGAGAGGGGGAGGAAGAAGCCAGTTACACAAGGTTAATGCTTCTCATGAAATTGCTTTTTCATCATCACACACACATTTAATTATTATTTCAAGCTCCTTCTGATCTGTTCTCACCTGTGGTCTGACCTTATTTCTTGAGATACTATGGATCATTGTAGCTCACAAAGCCACATGCTTATTAGCAAATGTTGCTGTTCATTGTCCAGTCTAACAAATGGCACACACCTGTAATGCTCATTTTCTTCCAAAAACACGTACAAAAAATGCCTAGTAGGCTTATCACTTGTGGAAAGTCACCAAAACGATACGTTACACATTACAGGTGCTTCATTTCGTATGCAGTTTCTTCAAACGCAGAATACTAGGTTATTGTGGTTAAAGCCAGTGGTTTATAACGACCACCTGAAAGGCAATGGTCACTAACAATCAACTGCTAACGTAGCAAGGTGACAAGTGACAACACGCAAAACTCATTAAGTCCCGTCGTCACCTCACCTGGGAATATCAACACGAACTGGGTAAACCGAGTGTACTACGTGTATCGCTGGAACAATAAAGCTGCATCACGTTGCCGTTGTGTTTCCATGGAGAGAGCGGTGCCAACCGGCTAGGCAGAAGCACAACCGTGGGTGTTGCACACAGGTTGCGCATTGCTCGAAATTGCCAAGAGCTGCTTTCAAAGTTCAAATTGTTTCAAATTTGACCTCGTTTACAGCTGACCTTTCGATGAGCAACTAATCAAATGAAAGCAGTATAAAGCGTCGCGAGTGACTAGCTATTTTCACCGCAAGGCTCTGCGCCCAAAGGGCACATCGCGTATCATGTGAATGCAGTTTAAGGGAAAACCATATTAACACAACTGCATGACAAAAATCTAGATCCAAAACTCAAAAATGAAAAGGCAAATAAATTGCAATATGTGTTGATTAAGTGAAAGCATTACACATCAGTGATCTTCGTTCTCTTTTTGGTGGAGAAAAGGTTCTGCTTTTGGAGCCCTCTATGCTGCGCCCTTGGCCTTCCTTCTAGACCAGTCTTCAGCTGGACCTGACCCGGACCCGATCCACTCAATTCCAGGTAAGAGCTAGCCATGATTACCTCCAAAATGTTGATTTAACACTGCGATAACTGCGTTGTGAAACTACAAATGAACAACGTTATACGTTTTATTTTAACCAATGGACTGTTTGCTTAAATTAACTTTACACTATTAGCATAGCAAACTTGCTGGATGGGTAACATACTAACGTTTTGCAGATCACATCTTGTTGGTGTTAATTTGAAGTTTGCTTGTTAGCTAGATTTTGAATGCAGGACTTTTACTTGTAACAGAGTATTCCTACTCTCTGGTATTTCTACTTTTCCTAAAGTACAAGCTTTAAGTACTACTTCCACCTCTGCAGAACAGGGATTGCACAAGTTTAACTTTAATAATGTAATGCTGGAACAAGATCGAGACTTAATATTTTGTCATATTATACAAATAAAAAGGTTTTACTCTTAAAAAAAAAAACATTTACAGGTTTTCTAAGGTAATTTGCTGAGCAGGTTTAGAAACACCACTCCCAGATATCCTTGAAAACAGGCAGAAGTATCTTTGTATTGTTTGTAGGGAAGGTTAAAAAATAGCGAAGCAAAGCGTGCTTCCAAACTAAAACCTCTCTCCACTTAAATGGTCCATTCTACTTACTTAGGTATTCTCCATCTTCCTGTCCCTTAACCCAGTTCACTTTCCTATCTCATTACTTCTAAAGTTCTTTCTTGTTTGACCTTTCCCTTCATTTTTTTACACCAATTCTCCTTTACTTATCCCTCCAATGTTTCAAACAGTTTTTCTCTGCTACATTCTCTTGTTTTTTTGTTGAATATGTTTCTTTTCCCCATGTCTTCTGCTGTGCTACCCTTCACTCTTTAGCTAAGATCTATCTGAAGGTGGCGCACTGTTGCAGATTGTCTCCTTCACAGACTCATCTCATCAGAAAAGCAATAAAGCACTAATAATATTATATTATATGGACATTGGTATATAACGTATTCTAAAGTGATTTGTATGAGAATATTATGTTTGTGGATGGGGTGGAGTAATTTGAAAAAGTATCAAGTAAATATGCCTGTTATTAGACAGACAATGTAATGATATAAAAGGCAACAATGGGAAATATAATCAAGCCTTTATTGTATGACAGCCGTAGGGAGCCACATTTATTTATTTTCTTCCTCATTTTCTTAGTGACAGACCATATTACATACATCTTTTATTGTCTGATCAATTCTTGCCTCCATTGAGAAACATTACCACTCTAATCCTTTTGTTGATATTAGCCCTTTTTATTATACAGTGAATAGTTTCATATACTGTTATGAATGGTGTCAAGCTGCTCCAGTGGATTGTCTTGGTAAATAAAGTAGTTGAATTGAACTGCTGCTGGTACTTATATTCCTAAAATAATTGAGATTCAGATTCAATATACCTGAGGCTAGACATTTGTAACAGTGCTATTTTCAATCGCATACCATCAACATTTCAGTTTTTCCTTCAACTGATAATTCAATTCTGTGTAGAGACCTGTAGTGAACTATGTCACACCAGCAGCATGGAACATTATTTTTGATGAAATTCGAATTGGACTGTTTTGAATATATCTCCTCTTTGTCCATTTCCACTGAGACTTGAACTGAGCTCGGACCTTCTTAGAAATAGCAAAACTAATTTCTTATTCCCAGCCACCTCAAATGATAGTACAATTTGATGACTGTCCAATATCTGAAAAAATAACTGTCTGCAACAGGTGCACATACTTGAGTATAAATATATTTATATAATGGATGAGATAAGGGTTTGACACGCAGACAGAAATCCTTGCCAAAATCACATTGCTGATTAGCTTGTAATGGGAAGAGTATATTTGTCAGCAAGATTCCTATTTTTGAGTCACCTCAATCACTTGGTTATTACTTTCTTCCAATGCTGAGCTCCTGCCAAAGGCTACAAACACACCAGTTCATTTGAATTTCCAGCTGCTCCCCCCTCTCTGGTATTTGCTGGCAAAATCACCAACAAAAAGCAATTACAATTCTCATACCACTGTTTCTTTCAAAAGGTTTGAAAACGTCTCTGACACATATGCACACACACTGGCGGGAATTTATATCTTATTTGTACTCTATCAGCCTCAGTTCTTTGGCTTTTTTGCCATGAACACATTCTTATTCATGAAAGGAACACAAAATACCCTTTTCCATTCAGATCTAATACTGCTGTACCAGTGATGTTCATGTGGTGAATTGCTAGGAATATATAAGTGGGTCCCAGACAGGGGCGGATCTAGAAAAATGTTCATGGGGTGGCAAGAGGGTGGCAGGAGATTTTGAGGGGTGGCATCCCTGGCAGAAGTATATGCTGATTTAATCGCAGTCATATCAATCAATGTTGACTTGGAAAGCCACAATATTAATATTTTAACTCAATAACATTTGGTGACATTTTTGTGGCACATCAGTAAAGCCTTAAATATAAATATATAAGGTGGCAGACATAATTGAATGAATTTTAACTGAATGAGTTTGTTTCACTCTTAGACCAGCAGGGGTACCAAATCTATGCAGACTGCTGCAATAAGTACATTAATTAACTGTCTCATCGATGTGTGTCTGTATGAATATTATGATCATATTAACAATCATATTATTCCTATCAGCTGTCAATCCCTTTTATGATTCACATATTCAGTGTTATTATTGAATAAACTATATTTTTTGGAGGAGTTAATGATGAATGTTCCTCAAGATGCTTGCTCACCCTCCTTCAAATTTGAAAGACAAGTAATTACTATCATATATCAAAAGATTCAAAGGAACAGTTCAGCGCCCCACTTCATTGCAAACAGTTACAACCTTGACTTTACATGAAAAAGAACAAACAATTAAAGAAGTGACTAACTGCATCAGTTAGGGTTACAAAACGTGTATTCAGCTAAAACATACACATCGCTGCAGTTATTATCCAGTGGAAAGCCCGTACCTACTGGCCTAGTTAAGTCAAAGTGGTT